GTAGTGGTCGCGGATGTCAGCTCGCGGCCTCCGCGCCGCCTGAAGTCGCGGCCGCCGAGGGTAAAGCTGCCCGGCGGGGGCTGCGAGGGGAAGGTGGTAAGGGGAATGGCTCCTTCTGTCGCCCAGCAGTGCTCCACCAGCTGCCGGTCGGGGTCACCGGGCCGCCAAGGCCCCTCCCGTCGGGCAGGAGGTGCATGTTCCCCCTGCGCCTCGCATTTCTGCGTCAAAGACCAGACCCAGCCCGGGGTGAGTCGCTGACCGGTATAGAGAGATCCCTTCTCTTGTCTTCTGGGCCATATCGATGAGCGGGAAAATCACCTGTTTTAACTGGCACGAGCAAACATCTGGGTGAACTGTGTAGTTCACAGGGAAGGTACCCCCCGGATTCTTACCAGCCTCCTGGGTTTGAAAGAAACAGTTGAAAAGAGCTGAAAGTCAGGTGAGGAAGTCTCAGATTGATGGCATAAAAGAAGCATGAGAAAAACCTCCATGCCTGACCTTGATTACCATGTGCCGCAAAATGCAGGAGGAGCTGGTGTAAGTGTCTCACACTTGGCTGTTAAACAGCTTACTGTTAACTTGCAAAAATTAATCTGTAATCTCAAAAAAGAACACGTGCAAGTGTGTGGTGCACCAAATACAGAAAACCTGTGGTGTCCAGTGCTCCCATTTATTTTACTTTTCATTCATTGCCACATAATGAGTAAGCATGGTGCATATTCCTCCTGCATTTGTGCTTAAAATGCCATATTATTTTATAAGATCTCCACTCATAGTATATACAACTAATAGCTTTGGTTTCTGAGTGGAGGATGGGTGGAAGACTAGTTACACATTAGAAAGCCTTTTGCCAGAGAAGCTGCAAAAGCAAATGTACAAGCAGGGGGACAGATAAAATAGAGTATTGATTAACTGTCCTGAAGGGAGAGATACTGTGGTTTCACAGTAGTCTGTACTGCTACTGTAGGTCCTACCTTATCTTGGTCTTGGAAAAAAATGGCTTTTTAAAATTTGGATAGATTTCCTGATCTGGCTTGCTGCGTGGCTCTCTGTGGATTGGGCAGTAGAGAGGAGGATCAGAGGAGATGGAGGAGAATGGGGCTGCCTATCGCAGCAGTTCTGGTTTGTGCTGGCTTAAAGTGGTTGTGAAAATGCAGCGTGGTGTAGTAGCAGGTGGGAGCCATGGACAAAAACCTGTTTCTAGAACGTTTTGACTTCAGCAAAGTAGAAGGTGTCAAAATAGAACATGAAAATAAACCTTAAGTTTCATTGTTCATGAACACAAACAGTGATGTAGTCTGCTGACATTGACTTTAGAAATTTATTAAGGAGCTTTACTTAGTAGACATTTTTTAAAGACTTTCTCTTTGTATTGCGTATACTATAGCACTTTTGAAAAGTCAGGTTTTGACACTCATTTCGGGGCTACAGTTTCTCGTTGAAAAACAGGGCCTACATATAAGGGTATATATTGGACAAATAACAAAGATTTAAAATTGTGAGTGGAAGCGAACTTGCTTTGCTTTTTGTATTACTACTGTTTATGTGTATGACCCTTTAAGAGCATTTACTTTGAAAGAAGGTAAGATGATGAGGTTAGGTTTTAAATCAGGTGTGTCACTTAGACTCCCAAGCAGGCACCAAGTTATACTGTGATTGGAGCTGTGAATAAAAGAGATGGACAAAAGTGCAATTGTCTTTTTGTAACTGTCAGTGATTTTTTTTTCCCAGGAAAGAAACCCAGTCTCCTTCCTTGGGGAAAGATAAAGCAGATACAGTGATCATCGGAGGTGGTTGCGTTGGTGTGAGTCTAGCCTATCACTTGGCTAAGGCTGGCTTGAAGGATGTCGTTCTGCTAGAAAAATCTGAGCTCACTGCAGGATCTACTTGGCATGCAGTAAGAAATGTTTTGTTAATCTCTCAGATTAAAAGCAGTTTGTATATCTGACGGTGGAAGTTTCATTACCTTTATATTCCCTAGCTTTCCAGAGATTAACTGTCTTATTTTATAGATACAAACTTTAGCACTGAGTTCTTTATAGATTTGCTGTATGAGTTTTGAAAAGTTGGTTCACCTATCCACAGTACACTTTTCTTATTTGTAAAAATTGGGACAAATACTGTATTTTGAAATTACTGGAAGGTAACTGTTAATATTATTATACATTTTTGGCAGTTAACTGAATTTAGACTTTAAACTTTAGTTTAACTTAGACTTCAAATTCAAAGTTTTATTTCAAAGGTAATCTAGTTTATACTGCTGACTTTATCATTGGAAGTGGTTGCACTGTCATACATAAACCAGAAACGTGAAATTTGGCATTATTTTGTGTGTAATTATTTTTTATATATGTGTCATCCTTGAAAAGAAGTATTCAAGGAGCAGCATCAGTGTCCAGTTCTCAAAGAATATCACTGTCCCAGAAACTGAATCTTGTTAGAGAAAAGAGCTTTCTTTCCTGCCACTGCTGACATTACACAAAATCTTGGAGGACCAAAGCTAACAACTGTACACTGTGGGTTTTTTTAAGGCTTAATGTTTGTCTGTACTCTAAGAAAAGAATTAAGAATCAGAATAATAGAATCATAGAATCATAGAATCATTAAGGTTGGAAAAGACCTCTAAGATCATCGAGTCCAACTGTTAACCCAACACCACCATGCCCACTAAACCATGTCCCTAAGCGCTTCATCTATGATGATCTTAGAGGTCTTTTCCAACCTTAATGATTCTATGATTCTATCTACACGTCTTTTAAATACTTCCAGGGATGGTGACTCCACCACTTCCCTGGGCAGCCTGTTCCAAGGCCTGACCACTCTTTCAGTAAAGAAATTTTTGCTAATGTCCAATCTAAACCTCCCTTGAGGTTAGAGGCCCGCAACTTGAGGCCATTTCCTCTCATCTTATCACTAGTTACTTGGGAGAAGAGACCAACTACCTTCCAGGTAGCTGTAAAGAGCGATGAGGTCTCCCCTGAGCCTCCTCTTCTCCAGACCAAACAGTCCCAGTTCCCTCAGCCGCTCCTGGTAAGGTTTGTGCTCCAGACCCTTCACCAGCTTCGTTGCCCTTCTCTGGACACGCTCCAGCAACTCAGTGTCCATCTTGTAGTGAGGGGCCCAAAACTGAACACAGTATTCAAAGATGTACATGTAATAATGACAGAGTGGGGACACCTCCTGTAATAATGTTAATCACATGGACATCCTGGTGCACAACATGTATGTATGTAATTAGTATTTTCTATGTTAATGTCTGGAGTAGGTAGTGTAACGAAATGAAATAAAGCTTGCCACAATAATAGATGCTTTTTCCATTCATTTCCAGCTATGCTCAGCTGAAACTGGGAGAATGTTATCCCTGTGTGTAAGGGAGTAAAAAACCAACAGTTTGTTGTCTCAAGAACTACTCTATTAATACAATAGAGCATTTATGTAATACTTACAACTATAGTATTTGAGTGCCTTTCAGGAAAAAATTGAGGAGCATGACTCGGATTATATTTGATTTGTATTCTCATACTTCTCCCAGGGGTGGAAGTCTGAAGTTTGAAATACTTCATTTTAGTGCAAACATTTGTATAGGTCCTTAGGAGAGAACAATAGTAAACAATGAATTAAAAAAAATCACTGCCTGAAATGTATCAGTAGGTTTATACTTCATTTTACTTGCTTTTCAACAAAAAAAGCAAAAGAAAACACACTGTATGAAGTTAGGAAAAACAAAATTCAGTAATTACGTCTCTTTTAGAAAGAATGATACCACAGGTGATGCAGTTCAGTAAACAGAGTAACACCACGTGTAGTGTCAGATCATGCATCTTGTGTGTTGAATCGTAACCATGAAATGCTCAAAGAAATACTGTAGCTTAAGTATATGAGTGAGGCACAGGCTGAATTCTGTTTACCCAATGCATATACAGAACAATAAGTGTGTAAAAAATAATAAAAATCCCCTCACTGAAGAAGAAACCAAAATCACTAATGGGAGGTTGTTACTAAATGTTTCCTTTGTTCTTATTGTTACACTCGCTCACTCTAGCTTATTACTCATAACTATGTAAAAGCAACCTCTCCTTCAGTATTTTTGCCTCCACTTCTTGGTGAATGCAGCGATGGAGCACTGAGTGAGGAACTGTTTCAAAAGTAGGGAGAGACCTGGACCGCAGTAGAGAAAATGCCTGCACTGGGCTGTTGAAAGGGCTGCTTTGTGGCACCTGCTGCAACAGAATCTGATGTGATTAACACAGCAAGACACCAAGTTATGGGACAGGTTAAAAATGGATAACTATTAAGTAAACTACATGTATACTGTCTCTGTATTAGACTGCTGTGTCTGGAGATTAAAAAGTTGATGTTTCAGATGATGAGAAAGATCAAAACTGTGACTGTGAGTTCTTTGTTATACTATGTACTGTCCAGTTATCAGTGGTTTCGTCACAGTGATACAATACTACATACAGATGAAAATTACACATAGAGTTAGCATGTAAAATGGCACATAGTATATTGCCTGCAGCCCCAAATGGTGAAAGTCTGATTCAGATTCTCTCTTTCACAGTCCATTAGGTCCTGCCAGAGCTCAGGATCATTTCATATAGATCATATTCCTCCTAGTGTTGCTGCCAAAACTTTCTTCCACTTCTCAGGTCTGAGATAAATTCGACTGACTTTCATTTCATTTAAATTAAAACAGCACAGAAAGTGTGCACATATTTGTATTATCAGTAATAAGAAGATATAAATAATAGAGCAAGTGCTGCTCATTTTTATAACTATCTAATCATGACAAAGTAGTCATTATTATATGTGTGTAAATTAGGCCAGGACTTAGGCTTTAAGAACTCTTGAAGTTGTACTGTTCTGCAGGTCAGATCATTTGCAATCTCACTGAAGCCCTAGGGACTGAACAAGGAATATATAATTCACTCAGCAGATAAGTTTTTTGTGTTATTACTTTTTTAAAACGTGTTTTCTAAGAAAATGTTTAACATATTGTGTTATGTGATACTTTTTTCTGCAACATGCAATTGATTTTGCTGCTGATGGTTAATAAAGCACAGCACAAGACAAATAAAAACTTGTAACAACCTGTTCCAAACTTGCAAGAAGAGAGAGTATGGGTGATAACAGTGTTAATGCAATTTTCCTCCAGAATACTAATTTAATAAATGGAGTTAGTATAAAATCTGAAACAGACTGGAATAGAACAAAACTGATACATGAACATTTCAACAAAGAAAAACTGCAACTATAAAAATGCCTTAAAATTGCTGTGTCAATTCTTATAGCAAAGTGGCCATTCTTAAAATTATTTTCCCAGATCCCTTTCACCTACAGTAACAGAATCTCTGTTTTAGAAAAATAGAGCAAAACCTAGAGCAAACCTCTTTCAAGTACAAGAAACATGTATTAGGAGGCCAGCTGGGCCAGACAGGGAGCTCATGACTGAGTTCTGGAGCAAAACCGTGGTATACAGCAGGTGGAAGCAGGAAAAGGCTATGAAGGGGTAATTTAGAAAAATTGCCTGGGATGTTAGGAAAGCCAAAGCTCAACTAGAGTTAAGACTTGTAAGGAATGTTAAAGGCAACAAGAAGAGCTTCTACTGCTGCATTAGTAGTAAAAGGCTGAACAAGGAAAATGCGGGACCGTTGCTGAATGAGGTGGGTAATTTAGTCACAGTGTACACTGATAAGGTGAAGTACTCAACGCCTTCTTTGCCTGAGTTTTCACTGACAAGATTTCTCAGGCCTCTGTGCTCTGAGCAGGGTTCAAGGAGAAGAGGAACTACCAGCAGTGGATGAGGGTCAGGGCAAGGATTACTGGGAGAACTTGACTCAGGCACATATATTGGACTAGATGGGCTGGATGCAAGAATGCTGCTGATGGCATTGCAAGTCTGGGCATGTATCACCTTTGAAAAACTGTGGAGATCGGGGGAGGTGCCCAACATTTGGAGAAGGGCATATGTATGCATCTTTTAAAAAAGCCAAAGGGACGAGCAAGGGAGCTAAAGGTCAGCTTGTCATGCTTTGTTTCGTGAGAAAATCATGGAGCGAGTCTCAGGTCATATTCCTGGGCCCATAAAGGAAAAAAAAGGTGATTGGGAACAGTTGGCATAGATTTGCCAAGCATAAATCACGTCTGACCAAACCTGATTGCCTTCTATGATAAAATGACTGAATCTGTAGACAAGGGGAGAGCAGTTGGTGTCACCTGGATTTTAGCAAGACTTTAGACACTGTCTCCCATAATATTAATGTATTCAACTGAAGATGTTTTGTTCTGTATGGGTGGACAACTAGATAGTTAAAAGACTGTTTGGATATTTGGGCTCCAAGGGTAGTGATTAATTGGTCATTCTCTACCCAAAGGCTGGAAACAAGTGGAGCGTCGTTTGTCCTGGGACCCATCCTGTTTAATCTCTTTATCAATGATGTGGAGTAGGTGACCAAGTACATGCTTGTCAAGTTTGCAGTTGACACCAAACTGGAGAGACCTGTCAAAGCGCTCAAGGTCATGGCTGCCCTGCTGAGGGACCTATACAGGCTGGAGGGATGGAATGGCAGGAACTTTATGAAATTTAGCAAGGACAAATGCAAAGTCCTGTACTTGGCCAGAGAAGAAGTGCAGTCTCTGTCCTTGGAGATTTTCAGTACCAGGCTGGAGAAAATCTTGGGCAACCTGGTCTGATCTCATAGCTGTCCCTGCTTTGAGTATGAGATTGGATAGAGACCTCCTGAGGTCCCATTCAATCTGTTCATTTTATTATTGTTTTATGATTCTATGATCTTGATTTTTATATAGTCCAGTCAGGTTATAGTTGTCTCCCAGTTGCACTCCTGAAATCAGAAACATAAGTTATCTGAAGCCAAAAGGCATCAAATATGTTTAAAATTCTTTTATTTGCTTAAAAAGGCCAGAGAGAGAAGTTTTGAGTTAATTCCTGCAATTAAATTCTCTTGAATGTATATGGGTTTATAGGTAACTTGCAAGTGATTCGTGGTTCATTTGATTCAAAATTACTTTGTTAACAGTGACCACTAAAATGGGATTTCCCTAAGAAAATATATTACTACGTTTGGAAAAATAACAGAAGACTAGAAAATGTTTACAAAGTAAAAGAAGACAGTAAAAATAATATGAGGTGACACTATTTGCAGGTACAAGTAAATTAATTATCGTAGGTTATTGTAAATGGCTAAAGAAATGTAAACATTTCAAAGCCTAATTTATTTCTTTATTCTGTATACACAGAAAAAAGGCCCTTATTTTGGACTTATTTTTTAAGAAACAAGCAAGTTTTAATTACAAATTCTGCAGTGAAACAGCCCTGGGTTTTAGTCTGAGGTAATTAAAATAAATGTGTTCACCACAAGTAAAACCACATGTATCAAATGAGATCAAAAACGCATTTAGTCAAATATGTAGTTTCCAGCAGTGTCCAGTATGATGGTGATCCGATATGATAAGAAGAAAAGGACAAGTAATATTTTTCCAGACTATTAATCTAGCCCAGGGACTTCCTGAATTCAACATGCCTGCTTTGTGCTTAATGTGGCCCTTAGCAGATTTTTCTTCCTCCTACAGATCTGTGTGATCACTTTTTAAACTCAGATTGTTGAGGTAAGGAACAATACTTTGGGAACTAGAGCCAAATTTATGAATAAAATACAGGTGCAACTAAAAAATATAGTACTGGTAGATGATTAATTTTTGCACATTTTTCCATTGGTTGATTTTGGCATTTCACTCGTCGTACACTATGATATCGTATATAAACTTTAAGGTATCAGAAACATAAAATCATTACAAAGAAAGGTGATGAAGGGAAAAGCTTTTAACACTGTGGCTAGCCTAAAGACATATATTCAGTAATGCCAGACACTTGACATACTCTTGCTCTGAAGATTCTGAGTACCTGTCATCTCAGGCAGTGAATATGATTTATGTTTTTTGAGGGACATGGTATCTGAGTGTAAGCCATTCGCTAAAAGCAATTTGAAGCTAATTGTTTCTGAAGAAAAAGATCAGGTCTTAAATGTGAAGCTGCACCAGGAAAGATGGGTCAGAAGAGGCCATGGTTTCAAAAAATGAGGATGTGTGATCTAATTAATGCAATATATGTCATTGTTAATTATAGAGAAGTGTAACATTTAGTAGGTTCTTAGCATAATTAAATTAGTTTGAGTTAAAATATATCTTTAAAGACCACTAAATCTTGCTTTTGTTATTCATATGTATACAGTTATTCCACTAGCTTTAAAAGTTAAAGCCTTAAAATATGTAGCACAGAACAGAGTTGACAAGCTAAAATCAGGAATAGTTAATGTATGTGCATACTAGGCAACTTAGAAGGAAACTATGAAAACTACTATATGTGCTACTTTTATCTTTAGATTTCCTCTGTTTTTTTCTCCGAATGGCAGTGAACTCAAAGGTGGACTCTGGTGTCTGGCTCACTTAGTTGGAGCAACCTTTATCTATGAATAAGCTCTAGTTAGCAAAATATGCACTATGTATATATATATAAAGTATTTAAATCAGTGTAGTTACTTAGCTTGAAAACCTAAGCTGGTTTTGCATTTCTGTTGTCTCACTTGGAAGAAGGGTTTTAGTGAGATGTCGAATTCAGGAGATCCAAAGACATATGCTTAACTTAGTAACACTTTAACTCTGCTTTTTTTAAGTGCTAAATGTCTGCAGTTACGAATGTCGTTAGATTGATGCAGCTGTCTCTTGTAGGCGTGTGACCAGTTTCCTTAGATACAGAAGAGGCTGTAGTAACCTCTTGATTTTACCTTTGCATGAACCTAAAAGGGCTTGACAGCTTTCTAAAGTCAGACCTAGTAAAATGATGTGCGAAATACATATAGTAATTTCTTAAGCTACTTCTGAAATGCAGCAGTTGCTCTTCAACTGCCACATGAGACAACTGTTGAGAATAGAAGAATATTGACTTCCACTGCCCTGCTGTTCACACCCCAGGAAAATAATAACTTCTGTTAAGATCTGGTCTTTGTGACAGTTTGGTTTCTCTCGCATCTCCTTTTGCAAGAAGGAAAAGATCCTACTACAGGACATTCAGTAGGACAATCCGTTGATTTAGTTGATCAGGAACGGAGTTGTGTGTCTGTTCCAGAAGATTTGAAACTGACTACTAAACAATTTAAGGAAGAAAGGAAACCGTAGGAGAGAACAACTGCAACAGTATCATGGGTTGACAAATTTGATCAGACAAGACAGGTGGAAAAACATGTGTGCAGAGAACAAGAATGCCATAAGTAGGGAAGGGATTTTATTTTTATTTTTGTAGCAGTTGGCTCTATCCATGTGTTGCTTTTCTTTAACTATATTGACAGTTTCTTTTTGAATGACAGTTGGAAGGAGGGAAAGAAAACACTGCATTTCTAATCATATCTTTATGTTGTTGTTCCTATTTCTTATTTGAGGCTGGTTTAACTACTTATTTTCATCCTGGAATAAACCTGAAGAAAATCCATTCTTACAGCATCAAACTCTATGAAAAGCTGGAAGAAGAGACTGGACAGGTAATCTCCTTAACCTTTTAATTACTAATTCAGATCAATGGTAACCTTACGAAGAGTCTTGCAAAAAAGTTTGGAGTTGACATGTTGATTATGTGTTCATGACTATCATAAAGCTCCCATTTTATTGAAATATATTCTCCTGCTTGCATATAGTCTGGTGCTTAGTCACTAAATATTTTAGATGTTTCCCAGGTCCCTCTAAAGTTTAAGAAAACGGTTTTCATCAAACATCTCAGAAGCTCAGCAGATTTAGCTTGGTATATAGTTAAAATAGCATCAAGGATCTGGAATGAACGGATTGATTATGATACATTCCTGAAAAAAACATGTCCACTTAAAAATTCATATGATATGATGCTGTCTGTACTTGAGAAGATTGCTGCAATTCTTCCCATCCCTTTCAGAGATGTGTTTTTATTTAGTGACTTAAGGAATGGGTATGCAGAGAAACACAGGCATTGTCTTTTTTATCTGGCATCATTCAGCCACATAAATTTCATTTACAAAATTCATGCTTGCTTCAGACAGCAGCAGCAATTTCATGATCCTCACTGTACTCGTCTACAAACTTGGTAATTGTAATAAAATGCTTTTTTCTTCATTCTACTGCTCAGCTAGATAAGATACTACAGCAGATTATAATTGTGAGTTCTATTAAAAGACTTATTCAGGCATATTAATGTCCTGTGAGGTAACACAGAAAAGGTGAAGTAAATAGTGTATACCAGAAAGTGAGCATTCAGTGTCCAGCTATATAAGGATTTTTACAGACAAAAAAAGGCAGGTGATTATTCATTGTGTCAATAAAGGTGCTTAGTCAGTTAAATTTGTTCTGCAGCATCTCAACAGAAAATTGTGCAGGTGATGTAATATAAACTATTATATATTTATTTTTGAGATGTATCTGATTCTATTTTTGAAAGATACTGTATGAGTGCATAAATTCAAATATTTATCAAATCGTAATAAAAATATCATGACATTCCATAAAAGCTTTTTACAGCTGTTTTGACAATAGTATGTATTAACCTAAGAAATTAATTTGATAACTTTTTTTAAAATTTTATTTTCTGTAGGAGTTTACATCTAAGTCCTGTTCCTTCAAGGGCACCTAACATATCTGGGTCTCTTTTCAGTGTTGTTAATGGCAAAATTCCTATAGACTTCCTGTAGTATAAGAACAGGCATTTGTGGAGATAAGTAAAGGTTCTTTCAGTAATTCACTTTTGCTCTTTGTTTTAGGCTGTGGGGTTTCATCAGCCTGGCAGCATCAGAATTGCTTCAACCCCCACTAGGGTGGATGAATTCAAATACCAAATGACTCGTGCTGGTTGGCACCCAACAGAGCAGTACCTAATCACGCCTGAGAAAGTACAAGAGCTATTTCCCTTATTGAACATGGATACGGTAAAGAATCTAATTTCATGAAAAATAACTTCCAAGGCAATTAAATATTGGTTTATCAGATATGTAGACATAAGGTCTGTTTATACAAATTGTACAATAAATTCGTGTTTTTCAGTGAAAAAAAGATACATTATAAACTAAAATCAGACTCACATGCCTTTTAGTGCATACTGTATGCCAGTATGCATACTATCAATTATAATATATATAATATTATAATATTAAAGCATTGCAGCCTTTGATTGCATGGGAGAACTGAGCAATTTTATTCCCTTACACCATTCTTAAGTTGGCTAGCTGAAGGCCTGATATTATTCTATGTTTTGAAAATTTGTTTTGATTTGACTCCTTAAGGTTTACTGCATTCAAGAAATAAAGTGGTTTTTAAAAAGTTAGTTAATTTTGATGAATTTTAATTTCTTTCGTTTTGTGGGATTTTACCTCCACTCAGGTTTTAGCTGGCCTGTATAACCCTGGAGATGGTCATATTGATCCCTACTCTCTCACTATGGCCTTGGCTGCAGGAGCCAGAAAATATGGTGCCAAACTAAATTACCCTGTCCAAGTGACTAATCTTAACTCCCGATCAGATGGGACATGGGAAGTTGAAACTCCACTTGGAATGATTCGAGCAAGGAGAATTGTGAATACTGCAGGTAACATAAGCATTTGTATACTCTTCAGATTTACAAACTAGCTGATATGGAGCATCTGTACTGAATTGTGTGGATTACAGGAATAAGTAATATATGTTTTTGACTATTCACTTGGTTTGTGGTAAAACATACTTTGCGCATATTACTTCAAAGTATTGTGGAAATTTAGCTCTTATGTTAATTTTCCTTGACTAGGCATTAATAATATTTCTTTCTGGTTTGTCTCCAGCAGTTACTAGTCAGACTGTCTTGTTAGATTTTAGTAGCATAAGAGGCCTTTACTGGTCTACAGTAAGTTGTGTAGGAGAGACACGCTACTGTCTATGCACGTTGTCCTCTAAAATCTTACGAGAGCTGCTTAGGAAGGGAAAAGGGATGTACAAATGAAGTAGAAATGTGCTCACTGTTTTTTCAAAGAGCCTGGAGATTTGCATCAAGTAAGATAACCCTGCCTATTTCAATACTATCTCTACGATTTAGCTCTATCCACATATCCTTGAAACAGAAGATTTTTGTTGCCCTTTGAGTAGTATTTTAAGCATGCATTTGGCTTAACAATACATTTTTTCATGTAATAAAAATTTCCTAACTCAAAGGAGCTTGTATTTACATATGGAATTTTTATTCCTCATTGTGTTAAAGAAGCCAAACTGATGTTTCTGCTTCAAAGAGCTTTTGGGTAAGAGTCCTTTGGATTTGTGTTTGTTTTCCTAAACAAGTTGATAGGCCTAAAAACCTATATTCAATCTAAACTTCACATTTTTATGATGCTTTATACAAGTTATAGAAAAATATATTATTCGTGAAACCGTTGGCACCTCCTACGTGAAGCGTGCTTTCTACTTCCTAGTCAAAGACTTTCTGTTTTCAATTGTTTGAAAACATGCTAAATATTTACCATTTGGATGAAATTTTTCCAGACTCTGTCTGTCTCAAACTGAATCATATCTGCATCCGATCTCAGTGAATAATGAGACTTCAGTAGGAAGCTGTGATGGCTCAAGAGGACTTTCTCTTCTTGCTCAGATGGGACAAGTGAACTGAGAGCAAGGATATGTCTTTATAATTCTTTTTTACATCTGTGCAGTGGAAAAGAAAAAAGCATCTATTTCTAGTGCAAAGCAGATAAACTGAAGAAGTGAGACAGGGACTCTTCTTGCTGGTGGGTAGAATAACCATGGCTGACAACTGGAATTATGAGTCAATTGAACTGGAAGGGGAATAGGCTGGGAGAGTGAAATGCTTGGGAAAGGTTCCTGGAGGTGGTTCGAGCACCGGCAGCAAGCGGAACACTTACGTGCTAGAGGACTTGCAGAATAAGGAAGCTCAAACTGGGAGGGACTGTGGGGATGGCAACAGTGAGGATGACACCATAGAGAGGGAGAGCGGAAAAGGATCTGACATGTTTCGATAAGGGAACTGGAGCTGGAGCCTTTCAGACAAAAAGATTAGGAAGGATACTTGAGGATTGGTTGTGTGTGAAACTGAGACTGGAAAATTGAGGCTGCCTGAGCTGTGTGAGCATGAAAGACTGGCGGAGTAGCAAGGGAGATGTAGATGGGAGTGCACTGGAAGGAAGAGAAGGCAGGTGGGATGGGATATGGGAAATGAGGGAGCCTGACTTGCACACGGAGACAAAATAGCTGAAGAAGGATGTTAGGACTGGAGTAAGAGCAAGTATGAGACTGAGGAGAAAAGAAGAGCAGGTATGGGACAAGCAGGGATGGGAAAGAGAGAAGATTGGGAAAGAGAGAAATTTGGAGGGAATGGAACAAAAGGGCGGATGTCTGAGAGGATGAGCTTTAGTGGGATATAGACAGTGTCTGGAATGTGGACAGCCCCGTGTTAGATCATTCCAGGCTTTCAGTAAAGACTAACTGGGAAACCCACTGAAAAGTGGGCTTTCCCATCATATGCTTCCCATGCATAGGTGATTACCTGCTATTGCTATAAGCCTAGCTAAAATAGCAGGGATCTGGAAAAGTTCACCTTGAGATTCTAAGCATGCTCATGAAAACTGTCATGATGTTCATACAGTGCCACATAATGACATTTTGGAGAGAAAGAGGACTAGAAGAGTTCATATGCTTTTTAGAAAGCAAGGAACCACAGAAACAGGGAAACCAAATTAAAAGTATTTTATTTAGACCGCAAAGTCAAGCACTTAGAAGATGAGAGGCATCAATATTTGATTGCTTTTGGGCTGTCAGTTCATGGCTTTCAGGCATGAATTATGGAACAGCATTCAGTTACAAAATCACAAGCTCTCTTACTAATAGGATCCTTATGTCATTTGTTACACAGTATGGGTATATTGGTCTGGGAATGATCCAAGATTATGGAATGGAAAGACAGCTCTTTTGGCAATCAGACTTCTTATTTAGGCCACAAACTTCTAGGCACTCATTATTCCTAACCATTGGATCTGCATCATATGGATGAAGTATCACGGATGTAGTAATTTCATTATATTTTTGTGGTGTAGTTATCTTTCTTTGGCTTATGTATCAAGTCGACATTAGGCAAAGTTTTCTAGTAAATGCTTTTCAAAGTTTATCTGCAAAAATTAGAATGTACCCTTGTGAAATTTTCATAGTCTTTTTTTTTATTTAATAAGTTATTAAACCAAGAATATATTTAGTTAATTCTTTTGTGTAGTTAACTGTTCAGCCAAAATGAACATTTGAAGCACATATTGCTTAACATTCTGGCTAAGGATTTGAAATCAATACTGTATAACACATATCTCTTATAAATGTTATCTCGGCTAACATTCATTCTTCTTCTCAGCCTTGCCTCATTCCACTACAGATCATGACGGGTGTAATTCAGAGCTCATACTTTAGGCTCATGTTGCAATACGAGCAGAGAAAAATATATCAGAAGTCTCTCTATATTCTCTCTCCCCCCTCATCCCCCAACTGACATCTGCTGTGGAACTGGAACAAACTAGTTTCAACCAATCTTTAGCTGTTCCTTATGTGAGATTTCCATTTTGGAAGAAAGCAGATGCTTATTAAATAATCCCTGACATGAACTAATTGGTATCGAGCCTGCTGAAGTGATTTGCAGCCTATTTATAATGGAATGTTTGATTAAAGTCTGCAGAAATAGTGAATTTAGTTTATATATACAGTATGTGTGTGTGTATATAAGCACACATTTGCAGACAGGTACAGACTGTATATACAACCATTTATACATACGAAGTGATGGAAGAATTTTTTAAAGATAAGAGATAGTCAGATTACATAGTTCAACAGAGATGCTAAGTACTACTACCACTAAATATTTCAGCATCAGATGTTTGCAATCTCTACAATTTAATCTTTACAAATGTCCTAGAGATACAATTTATGCCTTTGTTTATCTCTACTATGTGTGATAGGACTTGACATCTGCTTCCAGTAGGAATTTTGTTTCCAAGAACATATTCTCCCTTTTGCCATTTTTGAGTTTGTAATAGCTTTTGCACATGGTTCAAAAACTTTAAACAAAGAAACTGTAATATTTTTCACTTAGTAAATGTCAGCTGTTGCTATTCTAAGGAATTAAATAAGCACTTATCATAAGTGTGACTTTTTTTAGAAGTACAATGTTTAAAATCTGATTTTGAGCAAACCTAAACTATTTGCCTTTAATTCAAAAGCAATTTAAAATCAAATGTGTTTGTAATGTACTTCTGCAAACTTAAGAAATTTAATATTGTTTTGAAAGAAACAAAGTTAAGTTTCAAAGACCTAAAATTAAGTCTACCATTTTTATTTTCTTTGAGGAGCTTGAATATGCCTGCGCTCTATATTTTCCCACTCATTATGTTTTAATGAGTAAGCAAAACAGTGAATTTATTAGAAGCACATTCCCAGAGCATTATTTCTTTTCCAAATATCTCTTTAAGTCCAAGCAATTTTGGCAGGAAAACAGTGCATGACACTAGAGATGGAATTTTGTGCTACTTCACTTTTCTTTCTCCTTTATGGAGAAGCTGACCTTACCTTAAAAGAGTTTTCTTTGTAGATGACATGGAAATGCCCAAATCAAAATAAGTTCCCTAAAGATTGTTAGCCTCTACTTAAATTCACATTTGTGTTTGTCATGTGTAATGGAGGAAACCCTTGCAGATGTGCTAGAAATTCAAATTTATTAGAATTTTTTTGTTGTTTTTTGTATAAGGGAGCATAAATCAGGTTTCAGTAGCCTTAAAGGATGTTTTGAATCACTGTATGACTGTGGCATGATCTTCCCTGAGCTAATTTATCTGACTTAACAAGTGTTCTGTCAGTGAGTCTCCTCCAAGTGGTGAGGATACCATTAGCAAGCAAAACTCTTACACATGATAAATGCAGAACAACATATACTGGTTTTTAGTATTTACTGGGCAGGGCTTTTAATTGAACAGATCTTTCTATCGTGATCCTGGATTTTCTGCTCCCTTGCTTTATCTGGCTGTCAGCAAGTGTCAAGTAAGTCACCAGAGAAGATGTTTTCCTCAGAAACTTTGCATTTTTAAAAACCGTGGGTGTTAGACCCTGAGGCTGGTTTGTAATATTAAATAAGAGATTGACAGCTCTCCTGGCGTGGGGGAATGGCACAAGGCCAGCACAGCCCAACTCAACTTTCCTAATTGCCCTGGCTTTAGGCCATGCCAGAGATGGGAGGATGTGTTCCCAAGTTAACGTCAGCAAGCAGCACGGGCCGGCTGCTCCCCGCGGGACAGGGAGCCAAGCGTGGTAACAAGGCTGGCAGGGCAGGGGCTGAGCCAGCAAGGGCTCCATCCTACAGGGCACGAGGGAGGGAGCAGGGCAGACCCAGGACCAGCAGCTGGGGTCAGCCCACAGTCCAAATATCCAGACAAGTTTGTGGGGATGAGGGACAGGCAGATCCAGATGAAACCAGACTGAGGCCAAGCCCAGAAGTCGATCCACAGGTCAGGAACAGGTCTGGTGACAGTAACCAGGGTCAGATACTGCCCAGTGATCAACAGGCAGGACCACAGAGACGAGACTGGGCTGAGGTCAAGCTGGAAAGCAGTCCACGGATCAGGGTCTGGATCAATGAGGTCCATGGCCAGGCACGGGCATGGTTGTGACAGAGCTGTAAACAGGCACACCTGCAATCAATCCAGCTCAGACAGGTTCTCAAGGCCCGCAGATGACCTGAAATGGGGCTCGTGCGCCCATGGGTAGGAGTGTGGGTAGAAGTCCCGGGTGAGGCTGCTCAGGATCATTAATGACTGTTATTGTCCTCAGGGCCCTGAGAGCTAAATTTTGACCCAATCTTGCAGAGTGTGGAATTGAAGAGAGAGGTAGGAGCATCTGGGTAAGACAAGTAAGCAGAAAAAAGGAAGAAAAGTTGTATGTTAAGCTGGGCATCATGAGTGTAAGTCCCAGGAGAAGAGGCAGCTGTGTTAGGTAGCGAATCTTGCTGGAGGTAGTTTTTCATAAACAGTTTGGAGTCTGCTGGTTACACAGGAACCAGGCTGACCTGCCTTCTTTCCCTGGGTGCCATATAGCACACAGCCTTGTATTTGGAAGGCCCTGCTACCTCTTCCTCCTCTTCCATTTTTCCTTCCCCCAACCCTCACTCCTAGACTTCCCTGGAACCCCTGCTTCAATGGATTTTCCCCCTTCATTCCCACTTCTGAGACCTCCACTCCTTGATCCAAAGAGTCAGGGGCTGAAGGATATTCCTTAGAGCTTCTTAGAGCAGCTGCCATCCCAGTCAATTTTATCTGTCTGATTCCCGGGTCTGTGTGAGCCATGATGCAGAGCCCAAACTAGTAAGTTTGGCAGTTAAGTGGCTTCAACTCCTTGACTTTGACGCAGGTACCTCACTAAGTGAATGTGTCTTACCAGTTGGAAACAGCTAGTCTGGAGGCACCCTAAGAGAATTAGGTCTTCTTTAACTTATGCCTAGTGGTATACATGAAGGGCCTTTGTAGGCTTAGGGGCAGGTAAATTGTTGCTTGCTTTTTCTGGTCACAGTCTGTATGCCAACTTTTAATTGGTCAACTATGAAGAGCACACTGACTACTCACCAGTATGAACTCCATAATGAATTGATTGCTACGTGGGAGACATAATAAATATGAGTGACATGGTGCATGTGAAAGAGGAGAAAAACTTAAATTTTCAGGTTAGCTGGCTGAATCATAGAATAATAGAGCAGTTTGGGTTGGAAGGGACCTT